ATGATTTATGTATTAAAGACAAAAAATAATTCAACTGAATGATAAGTGAAAGACTAAACACTTGATCTGTCACTACAGGTTAGGTGATAAAAATATAACCTTAGAAGCAGTCTAGTGAAAAAGTCAGAATAACGTTCTAACATTTTATCTTTGGATGAAAAGCCTTATGTTCAGAAATAGGAAAGTAAACACAACAGAATCAGAATTTAGACCAGCCATCGTATAGTTCATTCAAGGTATTTCTGTCTTAGCCCTTTGAAATCAATCACTTTGCAGATCTGCACCCCAGAATTAACTTAATCATGTTCTGCAAACTGTTTGATGTAGCTATTTCAGCATCCCTTTGATGAAGGCACCACCCTCTGACTCAAGAACGCACCCTTTCAGAATCTAGTCTTAGTACATTTCCTAGCAACAAGAAGAAATGACAAACACAGTCCCAACCTGCATAACACATCAATACTGTCTGGAGTGCTCATCCTTTAAATATCATTAGCAATTAAGAGTTTATATTCAAGCATTTTTTTTTTTTAAGAAACTTAACTTTATCAAAAGGAAGAACCTTTAGAGGAACCAAGAGTGAACCCAGTTTTGGGTACTTTGATAAATCTCAGTCAAGAAATTTGAAATAATAAAATCAACCAGAGGATTTTAGAGCTTGACATAATCTTAACATCTGCAGTGTAACAGAAAGACACAACTCAATTTGCTAAATTGAGCTGAATCCAGTTGAAGATTTCACTTCTCAATTAAAAGACTCTGCCATTGATTCAATTTGCAAATCTTTTCAGCCCTGCATATAATTTTATCCAGTTTGCATCTTGAAGACATTTATATTTCTATTTAGGTGGTGAGTGCCATTTGCAAGCAACCAATTAAATGCCAAAGAAGGCATTTAATAGTTGTACCTGCTAAAATATATAGCTAGGTAATTCTTTAAAAATGTAACTCTTCTAATAAGTTTCTGCCAAAATTGGAAAACCCAAGGAATGTGCTGTTTTAAACACATAACCATTATCTGTAGAAATACATATTTTTAAAGAATATATTCTAGGACCCCCTTAATGATGAATCAAACCTGAGTTTCTAGATAAACCAAAAAAGTTGAATTTAGATTTTGAACATAAACACAGAGTAGCCTGTAGTTTGGAGAACACATGCCAGTGCTTCAGACACAGCCCAGTTACACAGGAGAAGCAATGCATTGTGATTTTCAAAGAAAGGATAAAATGGAAACTAACGCATAATTACATGGGAAAAGGAAATTTCATTTCCAAATACTTGTAAGTATAATTAGTTGTTATAGAACAGGAAAAATAATATAGTGGGTTTGAGTTAACACCCCTTACAGTGGCATCTCCCATGTGAAGTTTGTAAGAGGGCTGTACTGCAAGGGAGTGGTGATACTGGGAGACTGTCAGGATGTGGAATTTGCATCACGGCTACTTGGATGCACATCCCAGCTCTGCCACATACTAGCCAGGTAACTTTACTTTTTTGTACCTACGTTTCCTCAGCTATAAAATGGAAATAATAATAGGACCAACTCACAGGGATGTAGTGTGAATTAAATGAGTTAATATATGCACAGCATTTAGAATGGTGCTTGGAACGTAGGGAACAATACATATTTCTTTTCCTCTTCTTCTTTTTTCTTTTCCTCTCTCCCCTCCTCCACCTCCTCCTCCCCTTCTTCTGTCTTTCACATAAATAAGGAACCAATATGCTACTTAATTAGACTGACATATAACTCAAAACTGAATATGATAAACATGTGACTAGGAATATTCAGTTGGAAATAAAATGCTATCTTTTTATTGGCTCTTCTGAGTTTTTGTATTCAGCCACTGTTCAATGGTCAATCAATGCTTTTTTTTTTTTCCATTTCTTTTCTCCAAATTATTTACAAAGCTTAGAGTTTCCACTCAACCTGAGGCTAATAAAACTCCAATCAAACAACTAGCCTGAAATTTTCAGAGGCTCTACCTAGGCCTAATCTAAATGTAGCAGGAAATGCAATGCATAACTGAAGGTTTCTCAGAAGCCATTTCACAGGCTGGGACTCAGTTTGGCTCCTGTGAATGAGAAGCCCTGCCGGGGTGCCTGTGGTGTCCAGCTGCTCAGAACTATTTTATGTTTTATATCAAAGATGAAGGAAAATCTCCTGGAAAGTGAATGTATAATCATGTCAGCTGTGGGTTTGACTAAGAAAATCAACTACTTTAACCCACAGAAGTGTCCCAGGAAGACTCAGAGCCGAGGTAGTCCAATATCTAAAGAAGATGCTGTATGTAAAGGCAGAGTCACTGGTTTCCAGCTACACACTACTTTGAAAAATGTCACCCTCTTTTCTAGAAAAGTACAGACCTCTAAATTAAAGTGCTTTTAAGAACAGCCAATTAAATCAAGAAAGAAAATGTGCTGAATTTATCTGCAGCAATACATTGCAATTTGTAAAGGTGTATTAGCTTGCATTAAAAAAAATTCTCATTAGATGTAAGGAAACATTTAAATTAGGCATCCTTTTTCATTATTACCTCAATCTTGCAAAAATGTTAAGCTAGAGGGGGAGGGGAGAATGATTTTGAATTCTGTTTTCAACACATTTAATTAACTAATGAAATTGGATTTAAATTGGCAATCCTTCCTGCATCTCTATATGCCATAAAATAAAAAGCAATGATAGCATGCTATCTAAGTAAAGTTGCTATAAAAAGTAATGTGTGATTTCCCTTAAGTACTCTTTTGAAGGAACATTTATCTTAACCCTGGTCAGGTTGGTCTGCTCTAATTGTACTTTTAGAAGTGCTTTACAAACAAACTTAGCCATGAAAAGTGTTCCAGTGTATAGGCATATTTAAGTCTCATTGCGACATTTTGGAATTCTGATGCCTATCTGCCGCATGTCAGTAATTATCTGAAAATCCAACAGTCACCTTCTCTAGTATACCAGACAAGAAGGCAAGTCCTCCATTTCAATCTGGGGATTTACTTAACTTGATTTCTCAGCATCATAAGATAGTTTTAATGCAGTGCATTAAGAAAATCTTCAAAGTTTTATGATTCCTTGCTGCACTAAACACAGCTAAGGATTTCCCTTGGGATAACTGGTAATATTCTAGAAAAGTATTTCCCAAAGTGTGTTCCGCAAAACGTTAAGAACATGAGACACTATTTGTAAAAAGTTTTTATGGCCAAATAGTGGAGAAATGCCAGATACTAAACTGTTGTTACCATCCTGAACATTCTTTTGGAATATATGCTCTCTGAAAGCAGAGAATTTGTCTAAGCCTTATTGACTACCATGGCTGCAGGCACTAAACAATGCCTTGCAATTAGCAGGCATTCCGCAGGAATACGTGAATGAATGAACAAACGAACGTTAAACATTCTAAACAGTTCTCCAGCAAAGGAATTTCTTTCATCCAGAGTATCTCATACCTATTTAATCATAGGACTCTTTTGTTTTTTCCGATCACAGGAATCTTTTGTTTTTCTATAATTCTAGCATTACAGATTATTTTAGTCATATTAAGGAAAAAGAAGATGACATAGAGAATAATATAACAAACACATACGTAACCACTACCCCATATTAAACATCAAATGTAACAAATTCAACTGAAGCCTCTCGGGGGCCCCTCCTCCATTTCATCCATCTCATAGCACACACCCTCCCTCAAGATGAGGTCACCACAGCGTTAGGACTTCTGTTCACATGAAACTTACTTGCTCTGAGAAATTCTGAACTGGGGGAATGCTAAAGCCCCTTCAAGAAGTAAGATTTTATTTCTAGCTAGTATATATGTTGTAAATGGTTATCTGTGAAGCTCTCCACTGATGGCATTAATACAATAATGAGTCAGAAAATGAATGAAATAAAACACTAAGATGCAGGAGCAAGGCAAGGGATAACTGCTGTAATAAAAGAGGTAAGCAGCTTCACTTTTAAACAGACTGCTATAAATCTAAATCTAGATATATATATATAGTAACCTAAGAAAACATAGAAGTATTTGTTGCTTAACTTAGACTGAGTAGTTCAGGAACTATTCTCTACAATTCTAGAGAAAAACATCCCTAACAATTTATGTGCTGGATTCTGACTTAGGAAGTCATCTGGGGCTGCAAAAGTAAAATTGTGTCTAGATCAATGTCACAGTGTACCCACATTTACATAAGAGATGCTGCCAAGAAGAGGAAAACCCCCTTCCTGAGCTGAGTAAACAGTTACTAACAACAAAACTTTTTTTATCAAGAGCCAGCATTCTATGACAGATGTATGAGCTAACATGATTTATAGGAAAAGAACTATTTTAAAATATTGAGTCACTCTCTTTCACAGCCTTATTTTCATAAAACCTTTCTTCCTCAAATTTTCAAGTACCGTTATAGAGATTTTTAAATTTATCCGCACGATGTGTGGATAAATTTTCACTTTATAATTGGTCATTGGTGTCCTGCAGTTTTACAAGCAAGTGCAAAGATTAGACTTTTACTACACTATTGAAACAATTTTGCATTTCAAGCCAACCAGTGAATTCTTCCTGTGTTAAATACCAACAGGAAGAGAAATGTAACTTCACTCTGTATTGAGAAGTCCACAAGTTCTTTAACTCATATTTAAATGAATGAAATAGATACAAAATACCTTATTTACAAAACAGAAACAGACTCACAGTCATAGAAAGCAGATTTATGGTTACAAAAGGAGAAAGAGGAGGAGGTATAAATTAGAAGTTTGGGATTAGCAGATACAAACTACTATATATAAAATAGATAAATAACAAGGTCCTACTGTATAGCACAGGGAACTACATTCAATATCTTGTAATAACCTGTAATGAAAAAGAATATGAAAAAGAAATATATATAACTGAATCACTATCCTGTACACCAGAAAATAACCCAACATTATAAATCAACTATACTTCAATAAAAAATAAATGAAATAGATTGGAATCTAAAAATATTTATAAAAGGAAAGTGTCAATTCTTACCTCCATTATCTTTTAGATGTAGAGCTATCTTGGTATCATCTGGAAGAGAAATACAAAGGAATTGTAACAGAAAAAATTTTAAGATACATGAATCTCATGACCAGTAATTGTCTACTAATGCCTTAAGTATAACACGAATAGATTTTGATACTTCACTGGGTTAATTTGTAGTCCAGTGAGAGCAGATCCCAGCTTATATGATGTAGTATTAAAAGTACTTGCTGAGCTACGCAAGATCAAGACTTTAGTGAAGTATTACATGATTATATAACCGTGAGAAAAGTACACTATTATAATTTTAACTTAAAGTACATTTATTTTTAATTTTCTAAAGTGGAATTGTAATTAGACTCTATAGTCCTTATTCACTTAAAAAATCAAGATCAAGAAAATTCTGAGTTAATTGGAGTAGTAAAGATTTGTCAATATTACAGTTTTAACTTCAAAAGTTAAATGCTTATTTGTTGCTAACAAATAGGAGTATAATCATACACAAAAAGCTCTTGGTGAACAAAATGCAGAATGTTTTTTTTTTTATTTCAGTGGTTATATTTCATTCTAAAGGGCAGGATTCGAATTGCAAGAATATTTGCAAATTAGAGAAGTATTTCCTCAGGCTATGTAACAACTCCAAATAATATGGATTAAAACAAGACCATTTTTAAAAGCAATAAAATGTATTTAGCATCTTTATTAAATGGATTTAGCTCACTTTATCACTTTATTCCAGCTAATTTTTAATATCCAATTAAATTTCAATTAAAAGCAGAGGATTCCAGTTTCATTTCTCATTCAAATGAAAGCAGCGTTCATGAAAATAAACAGGGAAGACCAACTTCCCCCTCGAAGCTTACTCTTGGTCTGCTGGTCTCACATTTCTCCCTAGTGGTACCACTGAGAATAAATGGTTCACAAGTTGGGGCTAATACATCTTCTCCCAGTGAGTTCTGCTCATGTATTAATGTTCTGTAGTATTTTTGCCTTTCCTGGCAAAGGAAGTGCTTTTCAAGTACAATTTCTGGGACGCACACAATGCCCCTCTATAGGTTACAAACCAACATAATTTATTGACTGTATCCAGGCAAACATTAGACTTGCATATAAGTAGAATTATCTTTTGTTCAGAATCCCAAATCAATAGCCATTTTATATGCATTTTTGCCTTTCTATCCTGTGGCTAAAATGCTGAATACAGTTATTACAAAGATCAGCAACATGAAAGAAAGTCTATTTCTCTTCTAGGGAGGACTAGCAGCCAGGATCACTATTAAAAACTGAATGTTAATAAAAGGTATCCACACATTAAAAAAAAAGCACTTTTTTTCCATAATACTTCTTTCTGTCTTTTCCCTTTTAGAAATCCCTAAGAAATCTAGTTCGCCAAAGTATCACTTTCCCCCTGGAGAGCTCCTGCAGCACACCACCACCCTGATGCTTCTCTCCTCCAGAGATAAAGGAAAAGTATTTCCAGGGCACCTTCTGTGGGCAGGCTGGTGGGCAGCTGGGAGGTGGCTGCTCTTCGGGTGGTCGTCAAGACCCTGAACTGTGTGGTTGTCGCTCGTATGGTTGTGGTGGTTCGCGTGGAGCTCTCCACTGGCTCTGTGGTGTCACACATCTTCTCCTTGGACTGATCAGAGAAACAAAGGGGAAAAGAATTTGACTCATCTTATATGCATATGTATTTAGTTATTTCAAAGGAGTTGGGCTGTAAAGCACAAAAGCTTCTCCCATCAAAATGAGGAATACATTATTTTTGTACTGGACTCTATTGATAGATTTGACTAACTTACAAGTATTTAAAATAGACGAGAGAAAAAAATGGCTGTGGCAAAGTATTTCCACCTTTAGACATTTGGATTTCAGCATTTCTGCCGCTAACCTTTCATCCAACTGGTTTATCTTAACCAAACTTTTATATCCGTGAATAAGAGACATGATGTTAAAAAGGAAATGGTCACACTAGAAGAAAAACATCGTTTAAAACAAGATTTGAAATACGCTTAAGTGTGTGCAGAAAGAACATACTCCCTTCCCATCAACCTGGCAACGCTAAATCCTAAAAAGGTGACAACTGCTCCATGCTACCTTATTGTTTCTAAAGTAATACCCTTCAGGTTGAATGATATTACAATTTTGTTTTCTTTTATAAAAAATATTCAAAACCACCCAAGCAAAGGGCTGAACAGCACTCACGGAATCACTTAGTCCGTCTTCTCGCTAGCAGCGCTGTACTGAGAACACCAGGGAACGGTACATACTGTGTTTTTCATTTATATCCCAGAAAAATAAATAATGTGACCTTCACCAGGAACAATCTCCAACATGCAAACTGTGATGGTTTAGAAGTTGGCTTTTCTCCCTACCTCTTTGTGTTTCAAAAGCCTCCATCCCTCTGGGGGGCCTTGAGTAGAAAATAAGTATTCTGTACCTGGAAGGTACTTATCTCACATTTTAAAATTATTATTTCCTTTTTTTACATTTTTGCTTATTGAGTTATAGTCAGTTTACAATGTGTCAAATTCCAGTGTAGAGCACAGTTTTTCAGTTATACATGAACATATGTATATTCATTGTCACTTTTTTTTTCACTGTGAGCTACCACAAGATCTTGTATATATTTCCCTGTGCTATAAAATTATTATTAAATAAATGTGTTTCTTAAACTTCTCGTCTTTAGGGAGGTCCAGTGTATCTTATTGCTGGTTCAGGAAGAGTTCCCGGGACAGCTTCCTTTTCAGTAATTAGGCCTGATGCAGTTTACTCTCTACTTGAACATCCTAGTGGCCCGTTCACTTCCCCAAACTTCAGTTCCTGCGTCTTCTCAGCTTCAATGATCTCATGATCTTCTCCTTGCCTCCACTTTCCTTATCATCTTTCTTCCTTCCTTCTGTTAGAAAGGATGGGGACCACCGTTTACAGCTATTCTCTGCACCTCTACTCTGGCCCAACTCAGCCTACCTGCTTGGGTATCGTGAACCTGCTCATTTGACCCCTCCCTCTCTCTTCAGTATTTGATCTCTAATTCCCTCCTGCCTTGTTATCATCTGCACTTAACCATACTCAAGCACGTCCAATCTTATTTTAAAAACTCAGTCTTCCCTCATCTCCACATGCATCCTGACATTCTCTTGCTTTCTCTCCCATTCACAGTCAGACTTCCTGAGACACTGAGCAAATGCCGTGTGCTACAAAGAGGGCAGAAGCAGGACCATTGGGTAAAGTTACGAAGAAGGGTTTGCTCTGAGGGTAAAATGTCAAAAATTAATTATTCTGTAAGGAGATTAAGCCTTGTGCCAGCAGACAATGGGGGAGATAAATCCACACCTCTCCTCCCCATTTTGAGGCAGGAACATATGGTATCCCTTGAAACCCTCAGGTTCCCATCATCAAAAATCCTTCGTTGGAGAGCACTGCCCATGTACATCCTCAGGATTTCCATGGAGTAAGATCAAACAAATATGCACTTTTAACTGAGTGACACAAATAGAAAAAGAGCACTCTGACGAAAGAGTCAGCAAAAACAATGAACAACATGATTAGATTGCAAAAAACTTTTGGGTACTGGGATCATCCAACATGGAATACATAAAAATTACATATGAAATATTTAAAGAAATGAAAAGTCATATTTAAAAATGAACTTGTAACGCAGCTATTAAAATGACACGGCAGATTTAATAAAAGTAGATTAAAGTTAGACTTACATTTTAGCAATGAAAAATACATTTGTTGAAATTACTACCTCAATGGATAGGTCAAATAGCAGATTAAACACGATGGAGGGAGAATTAATAAACTGGCAAATGGATCTGAAGAAATTCCCCAGAAGGCAGCAGAGAGAAAGAAGAAGACAGATGATATAAAAGAGAGGATAAAAGATAAAGAAGTGATGAGACAGTCAAATCCACCTCCAAAGTGCTCAGAAGGTGAAAATAAAGAGCATGGAGACAGTCTGACTGAACAGTACATTTATCCTGTGTCTGGAATTTCCACCATAATCTTCTTTGCTGTATATATCTTCCCCATATGTATTTTGCTGACAATATTTTTGCTGCGTAACTACTTGCCTTAGTCAATTTTGCTCTAAAAGAGAAAAGAATTGGCTAATTGTTTGGTTTGATAAGTACAATATCATGACGGATGATGGTGATCTGCCCCAAGAGTTGGTTTCTCATTTTGAAACACACTACACTGGAGGAGAAAGAGGCCAAGGGCCTGGAAGGCACAGAGGTGAAGCCGCAGAACTTTGCAATGTCTATCAATGGACATGTGACAATGTGCTAAGAACGAACGAGAGCGTAGGGCTTTCACAACACAAGGCAGAGACCATCTGCAAATATGCACCCTAGTATTTGGAAATTGATACCTGTCTTAATGAAGGAAGAAATTTTAGTGAAAATAACATTGGGATGCTGAACGAGGAGGCAAATCAATAAGGAAAAAAAATGTGTAATACTACGAACAAAAGGCAAGTGGGCAAGCGCTGATGCACAATCCACAAAATAAAGTTACCTCAACCTAAAGCTAGTAAGGTTAACAATTTACTGACAGAATAAAAAGGAAATATTGAATATTACAGAATGTACTAGATTCTGAGCTCCTTGGGAATAGAAGGCGATTTTTTAAAAAAATTTTTATCATTTTAGTGCTCAGCACAGGCCATAGGATATGGTAAATTCCCTGCAAATACATTTAGGAAGGCTTAGAAAATGATGGATTCTTTTCCTTAGTCTGTGTTTCATGCTGGGCCCACACTGAAGCAAGAAAACTAAGATGTGTGAATTACATTCTTGATCTTTACACAAATACAGATATTCAATTTGAAAATTTTTAATTGAGGTAACTGTGGTTACAGGAAAGAAACATCAACCTGAAAACATAACTATGACTCCGTCAATATATTTTCTTTTTGAACTATGTTGTTAAGTGAAATAAAATAGATGGATTAGTAAATATCACTGAGGTTCCCCCTAAGCAAGTGTCAAAAAGTTGATTAAAGTTGTATTGGCAATCCTGTACTTAAAAAATTCAAGAGCATTCTGAAAGATGTATTTTTCAAGATATTTATGAGACATCATAAAACCAATGGAAAAAAAGTCTCTGGTAACTATGATTGCCTTAGTTTTTAAAATAGCTCTTTGACATAGTTTGCTTTAATGAATGAGAAAACTTGTAGAATTGTTAGTGGTTTTTATTCAAAATTCGTATCTTAAAACTTAACAAAGGGAGAAGAAACAAATACTTTTCTTTGTGAACTTTAGAGGATATTTTTACGTGACCCTGAGATGTTGGTGCAAATGCAATTCACTAAAAAACTCTGAAACAGGTTAAATCCCTTCTGCAATTTTATTAAGTTGCTCGAATCACTTCTTTGCATCCCTGTCTCTATCATGTTTACCTGGGACTTACTGTTTCCATGTTAGACCACATTTACTCTTCTATCATGTCAATTTGCTGTAATCAATCTTTTCCCCCATACCACTGGTTTTCTCAGTTGAGTGACAAAGATGAACAGTGGCTTCCTAGATCTCAGAAAAAGCAGCAAATGTTCACAAGAACGACCCTTTGTGCACAGAGATTTAAATCCTGGTTCTACGATTCACGTACCAACTCCAGATGCTCTCACTCCACCTTCCTCCCCAACATCTTCCTTCATCACCAGCACCCTTCCCTTCCTGGTACTATAGAAGCAGCAACAGCTCTTACCTCATAGGATGGGTAAGAGAGTAAATCGAGATAATTATGTAGAGTTAAACCCAACATCTGGTACATATTAAGGGCTCGGTAACTGCTGGCTCTTTTTATTAAATTAGATACAATTTTCATTAAGTTGCAGCAACTATCCATGACAGCTTGGTCCCAGGAATCTTGTCACAATAAAGTATGCATGTACCTCTTCAGGGCATCCGCTGTCCACCCAGTCCTGCCGATGGCGATCAAACCCACTGGAACATCTTCAGAGAAGGCCACGTTGCAGATCAGAAAAGAAAGTATGGGGTGCGGAGTGGGTAGGTAGGGGGAGGCAGACATTAAAAGAAAAAGATTGGTAAGTAGTTAATTCTCCAATTTGCACAACATACTTTCTTCTACAGAACTGTTAGCTGGAGCATTGGAGAAGCATGTACAGAGTTCTGCGTAACCACTCACTCCCTAGGTCATCATGCTGTTACAGCTGCAACAAATTACTCCAGCGAGGCTCTGTACACTGCGCAGAACACCTGGATCCCCAGGCAAAGATAAGACCTGTAGCTCTTCTCTGCAGTTGGTTTTTATTTTCCTCATACATATAATTTTTCATCATCACAACAAATGGATACACATTTTTTGTAGGTATTTTCCCAGATTTCAGATCTTCTTGTTTGTTTTACTTAAGTGTTAAAATTTAAGACCTGTAGTCACACAGACTCTTTCTCTACTGTACAGTAAGAGGTTAAAAACTCAGGGTGTTTGGGGTGTTCAAACCCACACATTCCAAAGAAAGAACCGGCCCTTGCTGGCTCTTGGGAGATCAGCCCTAAGCCCTTGGGATACCCTTGGGGATACGAGAGTTTTTGTCAGTCCTGGGTCTTGGGTTATGCAAGAGAGTTGTCACTAACAATACAATTTATGGTGAATGTCTGTTTTTATTCGCCTGGAGCCCTGGCTCATGCGCTATCAGTTTGACCTCGGGGGCCTGGAGATTAAAGTCAGTTGTGGAGAGTTTCAAACCTACACGATTGGCCCTCAGTGAAAACCCTGAACACCAAGGCTTAGATGAGCTTCCTCGGCTGGCAGTGCTTGCTGTGTGTTTTCCCAAGTAGTTGCTAGAGAATTAAGTGCAGGCAGCTCAGGGGCAGGATGACTGGAAGCCATGCCTGGTCCCTCCTGGACTCCGCCCTGCGTTCCTTCCTCCTTTGTTGACTTTAATCAGTACACTTTTGCTGTAATAAATGGCAACCTCGAGCATAACAGCTTTGCTGAGTTCTGTGAGTCCTTGTGGTGAATCAGTGAGGTTGAGTGTGTTCCTGTGGCTCCGGACCAGCACGGTGATCAGGTCAGGTCTCCAAGGTCAAATTCAGCCAGCCCTGGGCTGATGAGATTTTGCTCAGGCCCTCTCTTTCTCTTGACTGGAATCATGTTCTGCCCTCCGTCCTGATCCAGCTCCAGTCCATTCACTTTTCAAGACCCAGATATTACTACCCTGAGCTCATTCTGATAACACTTTATCACTGCTGTGATCATAACTTACGTTACTATTTAACTTTTCCTTATATAAAGTGTCACGGCCTTATATTTCATTTACCAAACTTGATTGTGAATATTTAAAAGTTGGGGCCAGTGTCATATTTGATCACACCGAATATATCTGACACATGATTTCTTTTTCACATTAGAAAGGTTATATATTTTGCCAGTCCATGAATATTAAGGATTTGCATTGCCCCTGAATTTTAATACATACGTGTATATTTATGCATAATATACATAAATCTGTATTATTAAATATTAATCTAAATAGATATTCATTTTTCAAAATAAATGGAGGCTGTTCAACTTTTGTCTTCTATTTTTTATCGTGCTGCTTCGCAACTCTTTTTTTCACTTGCTTTGCTTGTCCACGTGATGATCTTTCCTAAGAATCCTTGCCAGAGATTATGTACCATGGCATGAATGAGAGCACAATTTAATTCAAGTGGAATGTGAAAAGAGCTCACCTGTCAACAAAAAAAGACCCCATCTCTCATTCTGCCCGGACATGATCCTTTAGAGCTCAGTTATTTTACACCTACCATCTGGGTTGAACAAGCCTACGTGTGGAGTAAACATCAGTGTGCGATTTGGCATCCTGAGTTTGAGATCCCCAGTTGGTCAAGGACATCTCTGGTTACCCAAAGAGATTCTGATGATTGCAGTTAATTCCAGATGAGTTAAATGGTTGTCCTTTCTTTCTTTTTTTTTTTTATCCTTTTCAAATTTGCTTAAATTTTGAAAAATATACTGATATTCTCTTCTGCAAGATGGTGGTATCTCAGTTTTCTACAAAGAATATATTCTGAGAGCCATCTGACAAGTAATTAAACACAACAGGTAATTTTTTAAATGCAGTTTTTCTTTACTTACTCTATTCCAGATGTATTCATAGTCAGTGGGAAATAACAACTTTTGCCTTATATTATAACAAGACAGTTTCAAATCTTAAATTTATAAGTCAATTTTATCTCAAGTAATTAGTCTCTTAAATTGTTACATTAATCCCAGGGAAAAGGACAGAAATACTACAGTTTGTCTGAATTATTAAGTAATCTCCCAGTTATATTGTGTGAAATTAGGTTCTACTGAAAATATGTGATTCAATTAAGTAATCCATTCATTTATTAATTCACAATTGCTTATTAATTGATCAGCAGTTTATTAACTGCTAGGTGGGAAGGACTAAGCATGGCAAAATAAAATTTGGTTCGAAAAATTCATACATTTTTGTACCTCACAGTACCTTAAAAAATTAATATAATGGGATTCTGCCCTTTCAGCATTTTATTTTATAACCCAGTAATTTAAATAACATCGAAAACCAGTAAAAACCAAAGGAGATGTGTGTGTGTCTGTGTGTGTGTGTGTGTGTGTGTTGTAAAAGTCATTACGAAAAGTCACCCTTCTATTACCTCTGAATTTTAAATAAATCCAAAATCACTTTTGAGGACACCTTCCTCTTTCCACTGAGCTGCTGTGTTGTTTTGTCTAAAACATCATAACACTAACAGTGCCAGGCGCTTGCATGAGGCTTTCCCAGTGTTACCAAATAGGTTTGTGATCTTAGGCAGATTATTTTTCCTGTCTAAGCTGGTTTCCTCATCTGTAAAATGAGGTAAGGGAGGTTATGTAAGGATTAAAAGTAGAATGTTTTGTACATAGTCAATATTTAGTAAATATCAGCTGTTTTTAATACCTAAGTAATGCCATTGTAGTATACAGCAAGACCAACAACTGTAGGATTTTCACTTTATAGACAGGATTTAGAAAATGTTTAGGAATTAATGCTGTGTACCATGTTAATACGAAATGTGTTTTATCCCTAAAGTTCCTTATCATCATATTTGGGAATTAGTATTATAGAATCTTATGAGAGGAAAATTTAAGTTGCTCTCAAACATGGACCCAATCGTTATTCAATATTTATAAGTAGAGATTATGTGGTTTTGTAAATATTCCTTAAAAACTGATTTCAGTAAAGTCTGAGCTCCTAACTACAATAGATTTCCCATGTTTTTATTTTCAGGTTATTCTGTTTCCCCTCACTACCACCTAACTGCAAAACAAGTTGTTAGGGAGCTATACTTCAAGTTAATTGTACTATTTTCCAGTCAGTTTCAGTGGAATGTTGATTTCAAAGCCCTCAGGAATGATGTTAAGCGAACCCTATTAAATAAGGCAGCTAGAAAACAAGCAAAATTCTCCTAGCAGAACCTATCCAATCCTGAGATGAGAGTGTAAATCTCATCTCGTCTCTAACTGATCTTAGTTTTGTGGAAAGGGTTTCAGAAAATGACTTATTTTGCAAGAGTAATATATTCAGGTGAAGAAAATAAATGTTAAAATACATACATAAGGATTAAAAATGAAGTGCATGGCTTTCTACCCAACTGAACATGTGTCATTTCAACAGTGAGATGAAACATCTACAAAAGAGAATTTAGGGAAAAAAAAAATCACAAAATCTTAAGACCTAGTCAGGAATTAGTTTCAAGATCAGGAGTCAGCAAATGTTTTCTATAAAGGACCAGACAGTAAATATTTCAGGCTTTGCAGGATATACAGTTTCTGTCCTAACTACTCACTTTTGCTATTGTCGCTCAAAAGAAGCCACAGACAAATGTATAAAAACATGGGCGTGGCTGTGTTTCAATACAACTTTATTTACAAAATCAGGAAATGGGTCAAATTTGGCCCACTTGGTTTAATTTTCTGCCCTATTGTCAAAATAAAGATCTGTAAAGTTCTGAAGACTTTAGAATACCTCATCAAAGTGCCTGATGATTTAAATGGTCCTTGCAGCCTTACATGTATTTATTGGTGTGCTGTCTTAACGGAAAAATCAATTGTATGTTTAACAAGTTTTCTTGCCATAGCCTGCAAAAGTGTGAAAAATAATCCTACAGCACCAAAGTAGTGGAAATATGCTTTAAAAAGAAGCAGAAGTATTTTAGATGAGAAACAAGTACAATGATAAACAGCCATAATTATAACTAATAACAAAATGTATCATAAGATAAAATGGGTAATAGGACTATGGAGCTGTAAGATATGGAAAAATTATTTTGTTTTAAAACACTTAAAAATTTAATTAGAAGGTAGGCCATAAAATTTTAAAATATTGATTATAATAATCATTACTGTCAATAAAAAGTGAGTAAAAAAAAAATCGTATCTCATCTCCTATACAAGGCACGCTTGTTGGCCCTAATCAGCTTCAGGCATGAGACAGAGGATTTCACTTCTAAAAAGTTTTCTCCTAAAATCAAGAAAATTGAGCTTAAAGTTTTTCAGGGTTTTCATGCCTGAACCACTCATTACATAGAGCTCTGGGAATGACAGAAGAATTTAACTACACAGTAATCTATTATAGAAACAATATTGTAGGATAAATTAAGAAATTTTACACCACTATTAACATGCAGAAGTATGGAGTATGTTTTCTTTTAATAAAAGCTCTTGATGTTCCCTGTAGCTCAGAATCATAATCCAGTGCCAAGGGAAATAGTTATCTGTAGAATGCAAGGACTTTGCTTTGGAAATGAGTTTCTTTTTTTTTTTGGCTCAGGGAGGTAATTAGGTTCATTTATTTTTAATGGTGGTACTGGGGATTGAACCCAGGACCTAGGCATGCACTCTACTGCTTGAGCTATATCCTCCCATTTGGAGATGAGTTTTAGATGGAAAACTGGGATCAAATCAACTGATACGTGATATCCAGAAC